ACACACACACACACACACACACACACACACACACACACACACACACATTTATATGTATACATATATATACAGAAAGTCAGTATAAATCTTGAAGTATTTCTTAAGAAAAAATAACAGCAAAACAAAATTGAATGTAAAATGGAGAAAAAATAATCAAAGACATACTGTAGTTTAAAAATAATAAATCCGGAATATGATAAATATATTTTCCAATAAGGCTTTATTGTAGCATAAGAGAATACTTTGCATTACTTTAGTTATTGATGATGGGCGACACTACCAGTAACCTCTGCTGTACAATGGGGGTGACTTTAGTCTGCACCAGACAGTCTGTCCGTCAGCAAGGCCAGCATCCCAAAAGCCTAAATTTCTAAGTGTAAACTCAGCAGACAGTGCTGACAGCAGTCCTTACAGGTGTGGTAGAAATAGGTGCACTCCTCTTGGTGCATACACTGTATCTTTTTCTATATCTTAAAAAAAAATCTGCAGTAGGTTGCCTTACTTCGTGCATGGTTAGATTAGATGTTCTCTCTGCGTTAATTTAAAATCATTTGTACTTGGTTGTTGTTGTTGTTTTTTTCATTGCCGTTGTATTTCTCTCTGTCAAGATTGTGCCAAATATTTTGGGGGGTAATTTGTGGTTAGAAGATTAAATACACACGTGTATAAAATACTAGTCACACACATTTTCTTTTTAAATAATTGCATATTGTCCTGATATTTACACGCAAGTCTCTCAATGGTATTATGAATAGTAGAGAAAGTGGGAGTACCCTACCATCCCACTGTATGTATTTCAGTGATATTTAGGACAATAGGTATATTTCTCAATGCACAGAAAAGTAGTTGGTTTTACTCAGAGTACCTGTTGATGCTAGTGTACAAATTCACCTCTAGTACTGACGGTGTTGAAAGGTTTCTGGCTTTAGGGTGGAGAGGAAGAGGAAGAGGAAGAGGAAGAGGAGACTGAGAGGGATGATATCTACTCCAGAATAAATGTGCTTCTGTGTCCCGCCAATGGAAACCTCTCTGTCCGCACAGCTGTGTTGTTCCTCTCAAGGTTAAGCAATATTTTACCAACGGGCTCAGCTAATCCTCTGTTTTTTATCCTCTCATTTTAAACCACATGGTTACCTATTATCTATGTTGAATGATGAAAACAATAAAGATTCAAGTGAACATGATCTACAGTACTCGCCTGGTGTGTCTTGTGAAGCATGTTGTTGTTCTGGCAACAGCAAGTGTTGGCGATTGGGGCAGGTGTTAAATAGTAGTGCTAATAGACCTCGCATCCGATATTTTGACTCTTCATAGTGGGAAAAGCTGCATTCCACTTAGTGGAGGCCCTGGTATTGTGTGTGTGTGTGTGTGTCTGTGTGTGCATGGCTCACTGGAATAGCTTACTGGGACACTTAATGGGACTCAGTCATCGTTAATGTTTTCGGTTTCACCTGTGCTTTTCCTACTATGACATGTCAAAATGTCGGCTGTGAAGGTCTATAGCTAGGACTTTTACCAAAACGATACTTTTTACTTTGAAACTACAAGTAGGCCATTTTAGACTATATTTATTTGGTAAATTTATTTCACAGCTGGCTGTGTTTAGATAACAATTTGTTTAACGTTTGACTCTACACCTCTGTTCTAGAGATTCAGAGAAACGAAGAGCATGCGGCAATACGTTTTGGTCCTGATTTTTTTTTTTTTTCATGTAAGCAAAAACCCAAATGAAAAATAGTCTACAGCGTCTGTCTTTCTGCAACGGTCAAACCCACCAGACTGAACCCTCAGCTGTGGGAAAGCCCTTTTATGTAGTGAATAAAGGGAACACCCTCAGTGACCTCAGGCTTTATCCAGATGTTCCCCATGTAAACACCTCTAAATACAGACTGAGCCTGTGGAGTCATGTCACTCAGCACACCTACATATATTGTGTGTACACAAACATGCACGTTGCAGGACCACCAGATGTCACTGACGGCTCTCACCTTTGCTTACGGTCTGCTTCGGAGGCCTTGTGCTCGGCCTTTGCCATCTGTTTGCCCCAGAAGGTCAGAGTAGTCACAGTTTGGCTTGTCCCAAAACACGTCTCTCACTGGTTTCATTACAAAACGGTATCACTTTCAGAAAAGACAGAATTATCACCCAATAGTTAAAATGTGTACAACATTTTGGCAGCAGTAAAACTAATTCACTCGACATAATTATGAATAATTCTTCAGTGGATTCCCAGACCGCACTTTTAGAATAACAAGGTCATACAGACACATTCAAAACAGTCAGGCAGACTGAATGTTTGGCTACAAGTTGTTTTCAGAAACTTAAGAAGATTCAAATATGTGGGCATTGCTTGCTTCACTAGACTTTGTCCTTAGCTGTCTTTGTGAAACTTTTTAAGGTAACCACATTTTCATTACTGGCTGGCTACTCTGGTCTGGATGACTAATCCTCTGAGACCTTGAGGTCCAATTTACAATGGTGCTAAATATTACCAGAGCCTTTTGGTGTCCAGCTGTAAAAAAAAAAAAAAAAAGTAATGTTGATTTGACATTAAAGTAATAATGTTGAAGATTTTCATTTGAATGTCTGTTAAGTCACCGAACGAGGTAACACAATGGGGATTGAGCTGATGAAAGCCCCTGAATTTGCAGCGTTACAAACTGGTCGTCTGTGATGATGTTCAAAAATCACAAGCAGCACTCTCTGGGAAATGGGATCCCAAAACACACCTGCAAATACAGGCTATCACCAAAGAGAACAAAATGGAGATCTTAGGTACTTCGTGTATGTTTTCATCCAGAATTGTCAGTAGGAGATTTAGCTACTCATCTGTTTAGACTCTAATTTCCTGCCAGTGAGTCACTAAAGTGGACAGTCAATCTCTTAAAGTGATAAAAATGACTTTCAGGGTGGACCCCTATGTAAAGTACTTGGACTTACTCTTTAGTTTTACTTTAGAAAATGCGTTTTCCTATCATTTTACAAGTGCACTTAAAGGCATGATCAATACATTTTTGGCCACTTGGGGGCAGAGGAACAAGCTGTAAACCCAACACTGACATATAAAGTTGTAGACGAACCTGTTGGCAAACAGTTGCCTGTTCACAAATCAAGCAGACTTGGAGCAACATGAGCATTCATTTGGTGTCGTGTTTCTGGCCACATGATGAATGTAAATCAGTATTCAGTCTCCCTTTAACTCTGGTCTAGTCTCCATGTGGCTCGTGAGGAAATAACTTGCTCTTTAGCAGCTAAAAGCTCCACTCTGTTCACCAGATAGTCTCTATGTGTAATTTGGTGCTGGGCAGCATACCTTTTGGGTTTTGTTCAGAGCTTTTTGCCTGATATAGCTGCAGAAAAACATCTTGATGAGAGCACGAGCATGAACCAAAACAGTGCAGAGTCTGAAGCAATTTTATGTGGGTTGATTAGTGTAATATAAAGATGAGTAATTGTTGATTTAAGAGACAATTTGGGAAACAAATGGCTGTCTTCATGTGGGATTTAGCATAACAGAGTGCCTTCTCTTATCAAACTGCCTTTAGATTAAAAAGTCTTTAATCTTAAACTTGCATAATATTTTCTGAAACCTTCTGAAACAAAACAATTCACCCCACAGCATCAACACGGTATGCTATTATAATGGTTGCACATGTAAACTAGTTTCTTCCTGGGGGGGGCGCACTGTCGTCTCAATTTCCTGAAGTACCTGAAGGCAGCACCAAGAGCCGACCAGACGCGGCAGGTACCTCCACCTGCTGGTCGGTCTGATTACTGCAGCCAGGCGGAGCAACACATCCTTCATTACCGACCAGTCCAGACTGAAGGAAGACAGAGAGGCGATCCGTGAAAGCGAACAGATGTGATCCGGACTACGAAAAGAGAACAAGCTGTAGTTAAAGACGGAGAAACCTTTGATAGCCTACTGCTAATATGTGGCAACCCGCGTCGGAGCGATTGCAGGTGAGATCCCAGTGTGTGTGTGTGTGCGTGCGTGCGTGTGTGTGTGCGAGACGCTTATTGTTGACAGGGCAGCAGTGAATAAACGGTTCAGCCGTGTTAACGGTCACTGAAACCCGCCGTGCTGTGCGACTTGCTACGATTGCCGAGCAGCTACAGATGTTTTGTGAGCACCGTCTTCTCGCTCGAGATCTTGTTCAGTCGTCTTCTCAATGCGAGCTTCAAAACAACCGTCGTTTTCTTTGCCATTCTCTCCGTCTCTCTGTGATACGTTTAATGCACCTATTCACGTTACGCAAGCCCGGGGGGTGTACGGTGCAACAATTTGCAGCTCCGATGCATTCCTGTGCTAATCTACCGCTGGGTATTTTTCCTTAAAATGAACACGAGCATATTCTTGCAGTGCGTGAAAACGGCTGATTTTGGCCCACAGGCCTGTTTCATGCAACATTACCTTTACACTATAACCTCCTGAGCCCTTCTCCTCCTGTTGTCACTCTTTCCCCCTCATGTTGTCACATCAGGATGATTTAATCTACAGTTTTACGCTTCATTCACGTGTGAAATCGCTACAAGAAAAAACAAAGCGCAGGCCCCTCGGTAAATTACCTGCGACCTGTTAAGAAAATGGAGGAAAACAACAACAACACAGTAAATGACACGTAGTTTGATGTCCATGGGGCAAAGCCGTGCACCGAGTCTGGCTTCACGTCTCCTAGCAGACGTAATGCTCTCCAGATGTCGGCCTGCGGATCGCCTGCCAAGTGAACTTGCACAATCCCATCTTCTGCCCAGGCGTCAAGAAGATGGAATCACGTATTATTTAAACCGAGAGTTCCGGTGCTCAGATGTGGGGGTTAAGGGGGGGGGGGTCTGCGTGACCACCCGACTCTTCGATTCATTGAAAACATCCAAGTCACAGGTTAAAGGTTGACTGAGCACATTTTTTTTTTAACTGACTTTCTGTGTCAAGCTCAACAAGTGTCATTCAGTCCCCATATATCTCAC